TATTATTTTGTCATATCTTACACTGTCCAACACATCCCTTCACCCACTTTTCTGTTGTCCATCCCCCAGGGAGGAAGTTATATGTAGATCCTTGTAATTGGGCCTCTTATTTACTTTTAAACTAAATGGTTTTCCAAAGACTTCCCAACCTAAAAATCTTTAAGGATTTGACAACTAAGGAAAACTTGAGTTAGATGGTCACAAATACTGCTATTTATTTAATGAAACAGAGAGACACACTTCAGTGTTGATCTGTCCTTCTGAATATCTGAGGTATAAGCTTTCCAGGGTAGTCTCAGCTCTGGAATCTTTTCTGTTTAAAGAATAAGGTTGCCTGCCACTAATTGTTATACAACCATTTCTATTGATATTTTGTTACTACGAATAACAGTTTGGTATTTGGAGGTACTAGATTGAACTACACAAATGTGCATTTTGTAGATGGAAATTGGATGGGTAAAATTCAACCTAATAATGTGTCAAAAGATGCCCCTGGGGTAGATTTCTTTCTTCAAATAAAAAATTAATTGGTAAGTTGAATATTTATTGACTTATGCCTAAAATGCTTTCGAGTTAGACTTTAAAACAACTGGAAACGGTGTTTAAATTAGAATCCAATGGTAAACTCCAAGTTGTTAGAATCCATTATTCTGTTATTAGTGATTCCATTTTAGGGTGAGGACAAGCATCAGTTAGAATCATAGTGCGCGATGCTCCACTCAGCAGCACATATGTTAAAATTGAAACGGTACAGAGCACAGCAGCATGACCCCTGCATGAGGATGACCTGAAAATGTGTGAAGGAATCCGAATTTTTTTTTTTTTACTTTGAGGGGCTTGCAACCCATGTCAGAAAACAACATGTGTATGCGATGTTGAACAGGAAACTGATCTGCTCTGTGAACTTTCACGCACGCTCTAAGACAGAGTAGCAAAGAAGAGTCAAAATCTACCGAGGAGGAGCACATTTATGGACACATTGACATGTGGTGACTCACCAGCATTGTGCCCTGGCCACCAGCTTGGGGCAGATGAGCAGAGGTAAAGCTACTCCATTGACACATACAGTAAGGTGGGGCCTTAAGGGCCTTTTAACAAACAATGTAAAAGCTGCCATGGCAGGAAAAAGCATACCTGTCCCCTGCATTTTAGGTTATAAAACAAACAAACAAACACCTATCCACTGTGCTTCTCAGGAACCTTCTGACTTCTTAGTTTTGACATGAACAGTCTGTGAAGTCTAAAGCCCAACAGGTATTTTACGAACCACCTCTGGTAATTTAAATCACCAGGAGTCCATGATCTGAATATCATCCTGGGAAATTGTTCAATTCTATACTTGGGGGAAACCAGGTAAGTTCCTCCCTTTATGGCTCATTTTCCTCATCTGTAGAATGGGGATATTAGGAATAGCTAGCCCATATAATTTTTGTAAAGTTTTATTAAGTTGATATTTTATGTTAAATAAGTGTTAAATTATATAGTTTGTACTACTATTAAAAAATAAACTTTGAGGCACCATCAATATTATACCATAGGCTTGTAATAAGCATTGTTGAGAGATACTTTATTAAAGTGCTCTTGATTTTAAAAAATATGTTTTTCTTAATATAACAGAGCCATATGTAGGTAGGATAAAACCAAGTTTTAGGAAGATAATATTTACTTCATAGACATCTAGTGATGATTGTGAATTAGATAATTCAGGTAAAATATCTGACACATTATCTGGATTATGCTTTTTTCTTTGTTAATACTTGTTTCTACATCAGTCATCTCACCTCCCTGCTCAGTATCTAGATAAGAATCTAATGCCGGGAACATTTATATTGTCCAGATGACCTGCTTGCTGTTGCTTTTAGTTTTATGTTTGTTTTGTCTTTGACCTTATTCTGTTTTTTTGTTTTTGTTTTGTTGCTCTTATTTCTGTACATTCTAAGAAGTTTAGAAATAAATACTATACTTAATAGCAACCCTTCGTGTGGTTTCTAATAAAACTATTGCACTTCATTTTTTAATTAATGGTTTCTGTTTCTGTTTTAATAGTTTTGTTTTGCATTTGTATTTTATTTTAAATGGCCTCAAATTCTTTAGGGAGTAGGTGGGGTATAAAATAAAAGAGAGCTGAAGGGCATATTAGCATAATAATGAGAGCTTCTTAGCTATCATTCCGATTGAGTTTTCTCAGTAAAATCAGGATACCTCGGTACATTGTGGAGGCTCTACAATCTTTTCCTGTGAGCTCTGAATTCAGTAGACTGTCCACTGTATCATCGTGGGAGAGAGAAAGCAGGTCTATCGTAATAAAAAGCGTCTAGTTCTCCTGCTAGAATGCTGTTGAGCTCGAAAGGACCCACTGGTAGATTATCCAGTTAACACAAATGTCACTTCTGAAATGAAAAGAAACTGTCACACACACAATTATTATTTCACACACACACAGGATTTTTCCCTCTATTCTACTGGTGATCGTCCAACAGAGTAATAAATAATGCACTAACAGTAATTCTTTGGGTTCTTTTCTTACTTAGTGAATTAGAAACTACTGGATCTGCCAGAAAGCCCCCTTCTTTAAGAGAATGCAAGCAAACAGAGCACTTATCCAAAAGGAATCAAGACTTTAGGTGGTAGCGCTAGTAACATTTGAATTTCCTTTTTTTTCAGTAGCACATGTGAGTTGCCTTAATATGATAATTAATGGCATTTCTCACATTTGGCCAAAAAGAAGATGTATTTTTAATTCTAAGTATTGCTTTTTTTATTATACTATATCTTCCCTGATTCTCGACCCATTTCATGTAAAAGGACAACTATGCTTTTCAGCCAAATAGCCGATTTAATGTTAAGGTTGTATGCATCTCAAGATCATGAGAGCCCTTATATTTTGTTCATGGCAGAGCTATAAACATTTCCTAATGGATACATCTAAACTTTTCATTGTACTCAGCAGGTGTCCAAATAGAACCCGGTCCTCATATAAACATGGAAACTTTGGAAGTGGTGCTGTGTTTGGCCATAGTGCCCGGTTATGTACGGGAATTTGTTCCATTAGAAAAGTTATAACACAGCTGGAGTTTCAATACTAAATCTGTGATGGATAAAACCCAGGGCTACTGGTGCAGCTACTGCCTGTCCTGAGTCAAGCTATCTCCTCTCCCAAACACATGCAACATATTAACAGTTCAATAATTAGTACACATTCCTGCCTGCTTCCTTAAAACCTCACTCCCAGATGCGGCTTTGGTCAAATCTCGGTTTTATTAGCTTTCATGATTCACTACCGTTGTAACACCAGCTTCCTTTTCCATTCATTAGGCCTTCTATCTGGCTAAACAATGTTGATGTTAACTCAGTCTTTATAAAGGCAGTGACTTCACTGTCTTTTCATGTGCCCGGTCTCTAAATTATGTGCCCACACAGAACTATGGTCTGCCTGCCATGAAAGGGAAATGGAACTTACAAAAGTAATCATATCACTTGTAATTTAGTGTTGAAAAGATGGAGTTAAGGACAAGACAATTGATTCATAAAGCCGTTGTCTCTTGTAGTCTCAGGACATGTAAAGACTTTTTTTCTTAACCACTCTGTGGTAAGTAGCCCCAGTGAATATTTAAAATGACGCTCAAAGGCTGCGGTTCTCAACCTGTGAGTTGCGACACCTTTGGGGGTTGAACGACCCTTTCACGTGGGGTCACCCAATTCATAACAGTAGCAAAATTACAGTGATGAAGTAGCAACAAAAATAATGTTATGGTTGGGGGGGGGGGGCTAAGGTAAGTATACGTAGAATAGTAGACGTTTCGTCCTTCCCTACTTAATGATTTTGTTTTGGATGTGATTAAAGACAGAACAGAAATAATCCATCTAATATAGACATAACATTTTATTTTAAAAACCGTATTAAAGATTGGATATTAATTGACTCAAGAAGAACAGAGTCTTGTTGGGGACTCCAAACGTGACCTACCAAATGTGGAAATAATAAATGCATCAAGTCAATCTGACTCAAAGCAGCCCTCTACAGAGTTTCCATGGTTGTAAATCTTTAGGTGTGCAGACAACATCATCGTTCTCCCACTTTCTCCAGCCCAGCACTAGCCTAGCAGTGCTCGTAGGGCTTCTTCAGTGTGGCGATGCATTAGCTGTGCCATACTAAAGGATACAATTGACTGAGAAAGCACAGAACTACCAGGCATCTCAAGTTCTGAACTCAAAATAAAGGAAGACTGAATAGGTTGTAATGTGCAGAAGATATCCCCCCCCCAACACACACATACACACGCACCACCACCACCTAAAATAACAATAAGGAGAATCCTGTTGTCTTTTGTTTTACTGCAGTCCTTGGGCAAAAAATGAAATAACAACAGTATCGCGTATACTATACTATAGTGGACTCTCCAACGTTATTTTGAAAGCAAGGAGCGCTTGTATTTAGAGAATCATGATTCAGTGTTCCTCTTCTGCATTTTATCAAACAACAAAAACTCACAGTCCTCAATTTGACTCTGACTCATAGCAACTCTATAGGATGGACCTAAGGCTGTACACTGCTGTGAGAGCAGACTGCCTTATCTTTCTCCCATGGAGCACCTGGTGCGTTGGAACTGATGACATTTCCATTAGCAGGCTAATTCTTATCCCATTGCACCACCAGGCTGCTTTGCTGCATTTTATAAGTAGGATAAATTGAGAAAGCTCATCCTAACAGGTACTTTGGACCAAATATTCAAAGTCCATCACTGCACTACCCAAGATGTCTGGTGCAGAAATGCTTTAACAGGAGAATGCTGATCATACAACTTTCATTGTCAAAAAAGGGTAGGAGATGAAGCTATTACAATCTCCCTTAGGAGATCAGTGAGGGGTACCTAAGGATTTCATTTCAGCTCCATTCCAGCTCATGTCCATGGGTCAGCCAACAAAGACAGTAAAGAATATTTTTTGTCAATTATGTTTTAACAAATTTGGGGATCAAAATCAATTATATAAATGAACATTAGCAATTCACTTTGAAATTGACCAACTTCTTCCTGGAAAAGGAGTGATTCCCATGAGTAATATTTTGATAAAGGATCTTTTCCCCTATTACCAACAAAAAGTTGGATATATTCTCCTTTATCAGAAAATCAATTCTTGGTCCCCTTTGGGAAAGAGAAATAAATCCAAACTCTACTTAGATTTAAGTCTAAAATAAGTAATTTTATTAGCTGATCTACCTAACACTTTATTACACAATGCATTCAATGTTGTAAACACGAGTCTTGGCAATCTCTTAACTTTAGTTCAGGGACTGAGTTGGAAAACACTGGACAACATTTGGATAATGACAATCTCATCTTGTCTTCTTTGGAGAGTAATAATGTAAACATAACTAGCTCTTTGCTGGCAGCCAAAAGCAGTGGAGTTTGTGTCTGTTCCTTTTCTAAGAGGAGGGGCTCAGGGACCTTTTCTGAGCATGTTTCTAGAAGCAAAAATGTTCCTGTAGTTAATATAAAGGATTTTACAGGGCATTACAACAGCGTTTCTCAGTCAGCTTTCTCTGGTACAAAGTGTTTCTCCAGAGAATTGCTATAATGCATCTGCTATTTTAAAAGGCAGTTTAAAACTTTTCCGATGTTTTAATAATAGGAGTGTCCGTGAAAAGGTGTCTAGGATGGTTTTAGTTGTTAGGAAGGGCAAGGGAGCCTTAGCAAACAGATGCAGTGTTACCCAACTGCTGCTTAAAGAAGCAGGAATGAGGTGATAGAGAAGAGAATCACACACTTCAGACTGACCGGGTGACCTTTCAACCCTTTCCCCCACCAATATAGCTTG